ACTGTGAGTTGGGTCTGACTCCACGACAGTGAGTTTTTTTTTTTTTTTCATATACTACCATCACTGGAGTCTTTGAAAATAGCATAGCTAATAGGGCCTTGTAGATAATTTACTATCTTAGTTTTGACAACACTGTGTTTCCATCTTCAAGCTAGACTCTAGTGTCCTTCCTTTACAACAAATATTTATTGAAAACTTTTAGTGGCTTAATAGGGTTGGGGGCAGGGAGGAGCCAAGGACTGGGGGTTTATATTGGTGTAAGACATGGCCCTGCTTTCCAGGACTGCTGTTGAATGGCTGTGAAATAATTAACATAAGGGGGCTAGGAAGTCAGATGAGGAGCTCTGGTGGCTCAGTGCCTAAGGCATTTGACTGCTAACCAGAAGACTGGTTGTTCAAACCCACCAGCCACTCCATGGAAGGAAGTCGGGCAATCTACTTCCATAAAAATTTACTGCCGTGGAATCAACTTGATGGCAGTGGATTTGGTTTTTGGTTTTCTTTTAGGAAGTCAAATAAGGGAGTGTTTCTCTCTGTTTTCTGTATTATTTAGAGTCAACTGCCTTCCATTTTTGTAAATTCTGTTTTGCTTTTCTCCCCTAGAATATCGTGTTAAGGAATGGCACTGAGACCTTTGACTCTTGGGAGAAGCCTCCTCTGCCTGTGTATACCCGGTTCTATTTCTTCAATGTCACCAATCCAGAGGAGATCCTCCAAGGGGAAACCCCTCAGGTTACAGAAGTGGGGCCATACACCTACAGGTGAGTCTCATGCCTCCCTGTCACACTGGAAACACTGGAATAACCACTCTGTGGTCTGAGTCCTCATCTCTCCTTCAAAAAACACCCTACAGTGTTTTGAGTACAGGTTTTGGTTACATTCTGTCTGAAATTCTGCTAGTAGTTGGCACCAAACCAAAGACCAAATGCACTACCGTGGAATTGGATCTGACTCATGGCGACCCCTCCTGGGGTTCCCTATGGAAGTGGAAGTAGATTGACCAGCCTTCCTTCCAAGGAGTGGCTGGTGGGTTTGAACCGCCAGTCTTTTGGTTAGCAGTTAAATGCCTTAGGCACTATACCACCAGAGCTCCCAGTGGCACGTGTGTGTGGTTTCTCAGCAGAGCATGAAGCTTTGTGAACTGGGCTGAGTCTTATTGTGTTATGTTTAGAAATAGAGCTACTTCCTCCTAAGTTGGCAGAATGTAGTTATTTTTATTTTTTATTGGCTATTTATTTAAAAAATTTTCTTGTGATAAAATACATATAACCTAAAATTTGCTATTTTAACCATTTTTAAAGTGTACAGTTCAGTGACATTAATTACTTTCACAATGGTATACAACCATCACAGCTATCTACTTCTAAAACTTTTTCATCGCACCAAGAAGAAATTTAGCACTCATAAAGCATTGACTCTCCATTTTCCCCTGCCCCAAGTGCCTGGTAATCGTATACCTACTTTGGTCTCTATGCATTTTCCTGCTCTAGAAAGTTTGTAGAAGTGGGATCATGCAGTATTTGTTCTTTTGTGTCTGGCTTAAGGAGCTCTGGTGGCTCAGTGCCTAAGGCATTTGACAGCTAACCAGAAGATTGGTGGTTCAAACCCCCCAGACACTCCATGAAAGGAAGACTGGACAATCTACTTCCTCAGAGATTTACCACATCGGAAACCCAATGGGAGTTGCTATGAGTCAGAATTGAGTCGATGGCAGCGGGTTAGGTTTTTTTTTTTTTTTTTTTTGGTCTGACTTATGTACTTAATGTAATATTTTCAAGGTCCATGTGGCGTCATGATTTAGATTAGAACTTCATTTCTCTTTATGGCTGGATAATATTCTATTGTATACACCACATTTTGTTTGTCTATTCATCTGTTGATGGGTATTTGAGTTGTTTCCATAATGTGGAAATTATCCTATCACCGACAGCATTGTACTTCACGATAGATCTTGAAACATTCTTTGTGACGATGAATGCCACACCATTCCTATTCAATTTGTCATTCCAGGCATAGTAGATCATATGGTTGTCTGATTCAAAATAGCCAAAACCAGTCCATTTTAGCTCACTAATGCCTAGGATATTGATCTTTATGCATTCCATTTCATTTTTGACAACACAGAATTTTCCTAGATTCAATGTTTTGTACATTCCACATTGCAATTATTAATGGATTTTTACAGCTGTTTTTTCTCATTTTGAGTCATACCACAACAGCAAATGGAGGTCCCAAAAGCCTTACTCCATCCACATCATTAAGGCTGGCTCTACTCTGAGGAGGCAGCTCTTCCCAAGTTTTTGAGTGCCTTCCAATCTAAGAGACTCATCATCCTGCACTGTATCAGACAAGGTTTCTGGGCTGTTCCTAAAGTTTTCCAGTAATATATAGCAGTGTTTCACTGCTATTCCTAAGGTTTTCACTGGCCAATTCTTTGAGAAGTGGATAGCCCCTTCTTTCTTCTGAGTCTGTCTTAGTCTGGAAACTTTGCTGAAACCTGCCCACCATGGGTGACCCTGCTGGTATTTGAAATACTGGTGGCGTAGCCTCCAGCCTCACAGCAACACGCAAGCCACCACAGTAGGACAAACTGACAGATGAGTGGTAGAGTGTTGTCCGGTGCTGTCAAGTCAGTTCCCACTCATAGTGACCATGTTGTTGAGGGTCTTCTTGTTGAGCCACCGTGTCAGTCCATCTTGTTGAGGGTCTTCCCCTTTTTCATTGACCCTGTGGAACAGACCATCAGTTGCTCATATGCAAGTTAAGGTTGAAGCTAATAAGCTTACTAAGCATGATATTCTTCTCCAGGGACTGGCCCCTTCTGACAACATGATCAAAGTATGTGAGACGAAGTCTGGCCATTTCCTTTGGTCATTGTTCCACCTCTTGAGAAAAATACATGGGTTTTCTGATCACCAAAAAGGAAAACCTGATATATTTCTCCTAAAATGTCTTTTGGGTCTCATAAAAATGACCAGGTCTGATAGAGATTGGTGGAACCCCTGAGACTATGACCCTAGTTACCCTTTGGGCCTGGAATTGAACTCACTCTTGTGGCTTCCAGCCAAACAATAGACAGGCATATAAGGTGAACATTTATACCATGTAGGTGTACTGCTTAGAATCATCAACCATGGGAGATCAGAAGGGCAGTATTTGCATGGGGAGAAAGCTTAGAGGGCAGGAATGCATAGGAAAGAAGGACATAGGGAAAAGGTAACCACAGGGAGGAAGTGGGAAGAGAGCTGTTGTATTGTGGGGATTGCAATCAGTGTCATTAAACAAAATGTGTATGAACTGTTGTATGGAAAATGAATTTGCTGTGTAAACTTTCACTGAAATCACAATTAAAAAAAAAAAA